ACTCCCACATAGCGGACACTCTCCTATTGCGTGTGTGTTTTTTTTCTTGTAAGTCTTTTTTTTTTTTTTTTCTTTTCTTTCTTTTTGAGGGAGTAGTTGTTGTTGAGGGGGAGGGTAGGGTTGATGCGGTGGTGGATGAACATTTAAATTTTCATGCCTGCTGACGGGTTCGGTAGGGTAGGGAGGGGGGAGGAGGGGGTACCCAAGGTGGGAGCAGGGAGAGAAGGGGAAGGGGGGGTGTGTAGGAGGGGGTTAGCCAAGAGTTAGGAAACGGAAGGTGGGAGGAGTAGGAAGGGGAGGAAGGGGGAGGAGGGGATCTCTATCTCTATCTATCTCTCTCTCTCTCCTTCTCCCTGCCCCCTCTCTCTCTTTTCTCCCCCCCTCTCTCTCTCTTTCCTCTCCCTCTCTCTCTTCCCCCCCCCTCTCTCTCTCTCACTCTCCCTCTCTTTCTCCCTCCCTCCCTCCCCCCCCCTCTCTCTTTCTTTCTTTCTTTCTTTCTTCTTTCTTTCTTTCTTTCTTTCTTTTTCTTTCTTCTTTCTTTCTTTCTTTCTTTCTTCTCTCTCTTCTCTCTCTCTCTCTCTCTCTCTCTCTCTCTCTCTCTCCCTCTCTCTCTCTCCTCTCTCTCTCTCTCTCTCTCTCTCTCTCTCTCTCTCTCTCTCTCTCTCTCTCTCTCTCTCTCTCTCTCTCTCTCTCTCTTCCCTCTCTCTCTCTCTCTCTCTCTCTCTCTCTCTCTCCCTCTCTCTCTCTCTGCGACACAAGTTTCCTTTTAGATTCCGGACCTGCGCTTTTTGCTCCGTAGAAAATTGTTCTTTATTACCAAGACAAAGGCACTCTATATATTTCTCACGTCTCTGCTTTATCTGGTAATTTTGACATTTTATTTTTCTTAATGTTTCTCCTACTCTCTCTTTTTTATCTTTATTCTCTGCCTTTCTATCTATTTTTGGGGTTCAGGTAATGTATTTTATTTTATTTTATATTCTATTTCTGTTTTTTTTTTTTAACACGCGGAAAATATATATCCTTTTGACGCGAATAAAAAGACACACAAAATCACATTAACACCAAAGAGAAGAGCATAAGAATCACACAAAAAAAAAAAAAAAAAAAAAAAAACTGCGGTTCTGCGGTTCTTGGTTTTGGCCAAAGACACACACACACAAAAGTTCAATACAACAAAAATCCATAACCATAGATAACAAAAATCCCCTAAACAAAATCAACAAAACAAATTTCCTGAACTCCCCTAAAACCCCTAAAACCCACAGAACCCCCAGTACCCACACAAACACCAGAACCCCTAAAACCCACGGAAGCCTCAGAACCCCTAAAACAGAACCCTTGGACCCCACAGAACCCCCTAGAACCCCTCAGTACCCCTAGAACCCACAGAACCCACGGAAGCTACAGACCCCCCTATAACCCACAGATCCCCCAAAACCCCTAGAACCCCCAGGACCCTCAGAACCCCCACAGAACCCCTCGGACCCCAGAACCCCTTGAACCCCCCAGAACCGCGAAGGCGTCGACACAGCAGGCGCGACGGAAGACGAGGGTCACATTCGGCCAGTAATAGCGAGCTCATCTCCCCTACTGACGAGTGACCAACATCTTTCCTCAATGGCTCGCCTCGGACGGGAATTAAAGACCGTTTAGCGCCTCTTCCCGGCCAGCTGATGGGCCTGGGAAGAGGGGATGGACTGGCCGAGGGGAGAGGCGGGGGCGAAGGGTGCGAAGGGAAAGAGTGGACGCTGGGACTGAAGGGAGGGATAAGGGAACTGGCCGAGGGTGGGAAGAGGGGAAGGGAAAGAGTGGACGAGGGGAGGGACGAGAGAGAGACGGAAGGGTGGACGAGGGGAGGGACTGGGCGAAGGGTGGGAAGAGGGGAAGGGAAAGAGTGGACGAGGGGAGAGACGGGGGCGAAGGGAGGGATTGGGGGAAGGGAAAGAGTGGACGGAGGGAGGGACTGGGCGAGCAGAGAGACTGAAGGAGGGGAGGGACTGGCCGAAGGGTGGGAAGACGGGAAGGGAAGAGTGGACGAGGGGGAGGGAGTGGACGAGGGGAGGGACTGGGCGAGGGAGGGATTGGGAAAGGGAAGAGTGGACGAGGGGAGGGGACTGGGCGAGGGGATAGACGGAGGGGAAGGGAGGGATGGGAAGGAAAGAGTGGACGGAGGGAGGGACTGGGCGAGGGGAGGGACTGGGAATGAGGAGGGATTCGGCGAGCAGAGAGACTGAAGGAGGGGAGGGACTGGTTGAGGAGAAGAATTTGGTGAAATGAGGGATTCGGTGAGGGGAGAAACTAGGCGAATGAAGTAACTGGACAAAGGGAGGGACTGGGCCAAGGGAGAGATTTAGGGAGGGGCGAAGAGGGAGATAGTAAGAGGGGTTGGGGGAGAAGGAGGGAAAAAGGAGGGCGGGAGAGATGGAGGGGAAGAGGAAGGCGGAATGAGGTTAGGAGAGAGAGAGAGGGAAGAGAAAAGGAAGTTGGGATGAACAGGGAAAAGGAGGGATGGGGATTGGGTGAGAAGGGAGGAAAGGGATTCAGGGAGAGGGAAATAAGGGTAGTTATGATGATAAAAACAATAACAATAATAATAGTGATAATAATAATATAGGGTATGAGAATACACAAGAAGAAAATAAATGTAGATAAAATATTAAACGGAAATTCGAAATTAAAGAAATGTGTAAACAGTTGACAGCGAAATCGGTGAGACGCAGTTGGTGGTTATATATATATACATATATATAATATATATATATATAATATATATTATATATATTATATATATATATATATGTGTGTGTGTGTGTGTGTGTGTGTGTGTGTGTGTGTTGTGTGTGTGTGTGTATTTATATATATTATATATATATATTAATATATATATATATATATATATATATATATTTATATATATATATATATATACATATATATATATACACACACACACACAACACACACACACACACACACACACACACACACACACACACACACACACACACACACACACACACACACACACACATATATATATATATACATATATATATATATATCATTCATATCTTTTTCTGTTTCCCTTCCCGGGCGAGGAGGGGCGTGACAAGGGGGCAGTAATAGAAATTCCCCCGCAGGTGCGTCTGGAGGCCGTCCCACAGGGGATTCCTTGGGGATGCTGAGTGAGGGGAGGAGGGAGGAGAAGGGAGGGAGGAAAGAGGGGAGGAGGGAGAGAGGGAGTGAGGGGAGGGAAGAGGGAGGGGGAAAGAGGTGAGGGAGGAGGGAGGGGGAGGTGGAAAGAGGGAGGGAGGGAGGGCGCTAAGAGGGGACAGTGGGGGGAGCAGAGGGATGGAGAGAGGTGAGAAGAGAGAGAGGGGGGGTTTAGGGGATAGAGGGAGAGGGGAATTAGGGGGGTAGGAGGAGTGGAGGGAGGGAAGAGGAGGGGTAAGTGCGGGGAGGTAAAAGTTCAAAGTAATGAGGCAAATCGGTGGCCATCTGAGGCTCCCCTTGGACACTCTGGGAGCTGGAGGAGGAGAGGAGGAGGAGGAGGAGGAGGAGGAGGAGGAGGAGGAGGAGGAAGAAGAAGAGGAGGAGAAGGAACGGGAAAAGGAGGAGGAGCAGGGAGGGAAAAGAAGGGGAGGAGAAGGATGATGATGATGATGATGATGATGATGATGATGATGATGAGGAGGAGGAGGAGGAGGAGGAGGGAGGGGGAGGAGGAGGAGGAGGAGGAGAAGAAGGAATAGGAAGGAGGAGGAGAAAGGAGTAAGAGGAGGAGAAGAAAAAGAAGAAGAAGAAGAAGAAAGAGAAGGAGGAGGAAGAGGAGAAGAATCCAAAACAAGCACAAAAGTATACCAAATTCATAATAAAAATAAAAACGAAAAGCACATGTTAATAAAAACATTAGCACATTAATGATAAAGATTACAAAAAACTAGATCAATAAAACCCCCCCCCCCCAAAAAAAAAAAAAAAAAAAAAAAACAGCTAAAATACATGAAACAAAACACCCAAACAAACAAACACAACAACAGTAACAACAACACCAAGGAATATCAAAATAATGACACTTAAATAATTCCAAGAAATCCGAGATGGGCATTTCCTCTCGCATATCTCGCTGGGGATGCCATGCAGGACAGAGGGCATTGTCTCCTCCATGTTCCCTTCCCCCCCCCCTCCCCTCCTCCCTCCTCCTCCTCCATTCCTCATGAAACTAATCCTTGCTCCTCTCTCTCTACCTTGGCCCTCCCCCTTGTCTTCCCTCCACCATGGCCCTCCCCTAGCCCTCCCTCCACCATGACCCCTCCACCTTGCCTCCAACCATCCAACCCTCCAACCCTCCAACACTCCAACACTCCAACTCCCCCAACCCCCCCAAAACCCCGCCTCAGTCACTCTGCCCCCTTCCCCCCTCCCCTCTACCCCCACCCTTCCCCCCCCCCAGCAGGAACACGGTAATTGATGGGAGGTCAGCTTGTCTGCGCCCTAATTGGCCTCCGCCTCACACCGCCGCATTTGTCTTATTGCTACAACACATGTCTCGGGCAAAGGGGGCGGCGGCGGAGGAGGAGGAGTGGCGGTGGTAGCGGTGGTTGCGGTGGTGGTTGTGTGTGTTGTGGTTGTGGTGGGCGGTAGTTGTGGTGTAGCGGTGGCGGCGGAGGAGAGGAGGTGGTGGGAGGTAGTGATTGCGGTGGTGGCGGTGGTTGTGGTGGTGACGGTGGTTGTGGTAGTGATTGCGGTGGTTGTGTGGTGGTGGCGGTGGTTGTGTGGTAGGGTGGTAGTTGATTGAACGGTGGTGGGGTGGTTGTGGTGGTAGCGGTTGTGGGGTGGTAGCGGTGGTGGCGGGGTTGTGCGTGTGGTAGCGTGGTGGCGGTGCGGTGGTTGTGGTGGTAGCGGGTTGTGGTGGTGGTTGTGGTAGTGATTGCGGTGGTAGCGGTGGTGGCAGTGGTAGGGGTGGCTGTGGTGTGGTAGTGATTGCGGTGATAGGG